TGCAATGACTGTGGCAACTTTAACATTTGAAAGGATACTATGGCAAAGTTATTGCTTTCTTTATTCAAACAGATTTTTTTTTTCATGAATATATAGTTGACCTGAAGAATGAAAGCTATATCATACACTTGGAAAATTAAGAGCTATATCACCGCTTATCGACACTAGGGGTGTGACAATACACTTAACTCACGAGATGAGACAAAATACAGATACTTGGTTCACTAGAAGGAGACAATATTTTAATACTATTTTTAAGAACTTTTCAATGACAAAATATTTGTCTTTTAATTACAAAAAGTAAAACAATGATGTTTAATAAATCCATTTAATTTTAATATTTGGCCGCATGCAAACTCAGAAACCTTTATTTTGAAATCGCGATACAATAAATGGCATATTTAGAAATAGGTTGATGTATTCTCCTGTGTTGGCAACGGTTTAAATGATTTATGTTACAAATCTAGTGAGATAATGCAGTTTTCCCAGGTGAACGTTAAGCAATTCAAATTCACAGTATATGCAGAGGAAGAGTTTAGCCCCTTTCACACATACAGTCTTAACTGGTAAATTACCCGTAAGTTACCATTAAGAGATCATGTGTGAACAGGACCTTTTCAAAAATCCCGGTAAATTTGTTCTGGCAATCATATCGTTCTTATGGCGATGACATGATTACTCTGAGCTGTTTACAAAGCTCCGCTGCTTTTTAATTCGTTTTTCTATACAATTATACGCGCTAGATGGACATCTTTGTCCATTGCGCCTCGCAGCTTTTCCATTCATCATGCCTGGGCCTCTGCAATTGGATACTACTACAGTATTATGCGCGTCTCGTGTTTATAAGAGCAAAAAAAGTTTGGTTATGAGTGAAAGCTGTGCTCCTCTCATACGAGGTAGGTGAACTCATACGGACTCGAAAGTGATATCAACACGTTTTTTTTTAATGTAGGATTTTTTCCCCCCGCAGCCAAACGCTGCACGCCGGATATCCGGCACGGTGCCGAAGCCCTGCATACAACTACAATGCGATTTTGACCATGAAACTAAAAATGCATCCGGTTTCCCATTTCAGAAATCTATCACGGGACTGCTAGTGTGATATTGCTTTTATACAGCAATGTAATAAACAAGTAACAGTTGGTCGATATTGAGTAACTTACATTTTAATCCCAATATTGCCAGATCCGTTGTCTATTTTTCTCCACCAACGAAAATATTTCAAGGCCTAAGCCACAGCAGAAACAACCGTCTCGTGTCTCCGTACAACACGCTAGCAGTGTCGCTGAATCAGTAAACGAATCGTTTGATTCGGAATGACTCGATCATAATACACAAAACCACACAAAATCACTTATCGATTCGCCGCGTTCTGTCGACCAGAGCCGTTAAAAAGACGTGTTTTTCAACGGCTCTGCTGACGACCATTCAAATTCAATGACCGGAACTAGCCTAATTGTTGCATAAAATAAATACTAGCATTTAAGTGAACGAAAAAAGGCTTACAGCACAAACATACTTTTAAGGCAAAACAGTTAACAGAAAACTTGTTCTTTTAAAACAAATGAAAAAACAATAGTGTATTTTTTTTTTATAAATACATACCATTATTGTGTAATTTATTAAAAGTGTAAGCCAAACTACAATTCTGTCATAGACCAACTATTTGCCACATGGCAGGACATTGCTGTAAAGAAGAGTTTGATTTAGTCTGATTTGCTCTGAAAACATTTGTAACCTATTTAATAGACAACAAACAATTACACATTAATATGTAGAAATTGCAGTGTAACAAACATACTTACCTGGTTAGCTGGTTAGATATTTCAAGTCAACAAAAAGTGTGTCCTTTTGCAGAAATATCTCATTACAGAATAGTGCGTGTCTGTGTGTGTGTGTGTGTGTGTGTGTGTGTGTGTGTATATACAGACAGTGTGTGCGCCGGTTAGTCAGCCACCAATTGTGCAAGTTCTCCCACTTAAAAAGATGAGAGAGGCCTGTAAATATCTCATTACAGAATAGTGCGTGTCTGTGTGTGTGTGTGTGTGTGTGTGTGTGTGTGTGTGTATACAGATACAGTTTGAGCCGGTTTCAGCCGAACCCTTGACTCAATCTCAGTTAAATCACCTCACTGTAATGAGATTATACCAATAATCCAGCCACTTACTGGAAGGGTCAACCATGAACCAGCAAAAACAATAGATTCATGTGACAAGGACATGTTTGTCCACTTATGCCACCAAAATTACTCTGCACATTATAACTTTGTAGCTTTAATTTATAATGTTTTCAGGTTGTAGGTTCCAAATTGCACTAAAAGTAAAATAAACTATTGATATACTGATTTCATAGTTATTCTACAATATATCTGTAAAATCATCTATAAATCAAATAACTTTTTAACAATATTATTCAAATTTGCTAAATGTTATTAAAATGATTAATGATTGATGAAATAAGACTGATATTTACACAGGCATCTACACTGGGTCACAGTGAGGTCTCTCAGGTCAGGGGTGAGATGTGTAGGTGCTGTAGTGGGAACGGCGATACTGTGTTTGGACCCGGAGGATGAGGTGCCAGTCCAGAGGGACAGCAGAGAGCGTGAGAGGAGTGTGTTTACAGAAGTGCCATCCACGCACACCTCCGCAAATGAGCTCAGAGGTGTGGAGATACACACAATGCACGATAGTCTGAGTCTGAACGTTTATTCCCAAATCAACACCTATGAATTTTGACTCGTACGACCTGAAGCTAGAGATAAAGG